TTTTCTTTGTAAATCTGCAGGCAGTGTTCCATACTGTTTTCCTTGAGTAACAGAATAAAATGCCCTATTATTTTGAGTTTCACATTATGTAAAAGTGAACAATAAATAAGGATAACTAACAAAACACTCTGAATAAAGTATGTATAGATTGTTATGATTTCCAATCTTTCTAGCTCACTTACCCAGAATTATAAAACAATGTCTTAGAAGCCAATTCTGCTTTTTCAATTAACTTTTCCAGTAGAGCACTCAATATTCAAACAATCCTTAGTTTTCAAGCAGACAACTCTCTTTTTAAATGCATTATTAATTTTAATAATAAAAAGCAATGATCACAATGAGGACACTGATGCATTTGGCTGAAAGGAACAGGAGCACAGCACACTAAAAAGTAGCTCTTGACATAAAGCTGAAACTTCCTTCCACATGCACTCCATTCTGAAGGATCTAGTCCATATCTGCCTCTTCAGCTTCATCCCACACCGCCCACCGCTGCTCACACTGACTCTTTTCTTCATCCCACTCTATGACAACCCTCCACAATGGCCTTTGTAGACACAGGTCATTCTGAGTATTACATGCCTCTGCTGTCTGGATATAAAAAAAAATTCACTTGTAAGCAGAGACTGTGCTTTTGTTTCTGACCACTCTCACCCAAATAATCATGCAGAAACTATATTAATTACAATAATATTTGACCTATTAGCTCAGGCTTCTTATTAACTAATTCTTACATCTTAAATTAACCCATTTCTACTATTTTGTATTTTACCATGAGGCTTGTGGTTTGTTATTTCTTGTTTCTTGGGCAGCAGCTACATGGTATCTACCTGACTCTGCCTTCTTTCCTCCTCTATTTCTGGTTGGATTTCCCACCTTGCTATATTCTGCCTTGCCATAGGCTTCTTTATTAATCAATAGTAATAGAGCATATTCACATCATACAGAGGGGAATCCTACTTTTATTTTTATAAAGCATATGCCCATCATGCAGAGGGCAAACATGTCAACGCAAGGGAATCTCTGTTGATCACCCTAATGGAGGGAATCTTATCTTCAGACTCTCACATTTAGGCTACTGTATCATACCATCTTCTTCTTTTTTTTTTCCCCCTTAACAATTATAAAACATAACTCACATCTGGCAGATAATCTGCAAAATATATTAAGAATTCAAAAAACTAGACATCAAAAAAGCAAATAATGCAATTTGAAAATGAGGTACAGACCCAAACAGAGAATTCTCAACAGAAGAATCTCAAATGGTACAGAAAACTTAAAGAAATGTTCATCCATCGTTAGCCATCAGGGAAATGCAAATCAAAACAACTGTGAGACTCCAGCTTACACCTGCTAGAATGGCTACGATCAAAAACATAAATGACAGCTTATGCTGGAGAGGATGGTGAGCAAGAGGAACACTTCCCCATTGTTGGTAGGAGTGTAAACTTATCCAGCCACTTTGGAAATTAATATGGTGGTTTCACAAAAAACGGGGAATCAATTTACCTCAAGGCCCAGCTATACCAATCTTGGGCATATACCCAAAAGATCCTCAATCATACCACAAGGACACTTGCTCAACTATGTTCATAACAGCTTTATTTGTAATAGCCAGAACCTAGAAACAGCTGAGATGCTCCTCAAATGAAAAACAAATAAAGAAAATATGGTATATCTACACAATGGAGTATTACCCAGCTGTTAAAAACAATGACACCAGAAATTTTGAAGGCAAATTGATGTAACTAAAAAAAAATCATGCTGAGTGAGGTAACCAAGACCAAGAAAGACAAACATGGTATGTACTCACTGATAAGTGGATATTAACTCTAAAGTATAAAGGATAACTATGCTACAATCCACAGACCCAGAGAGGTTAGGTAACAAGAGGGCCCAAGAAGGGGAAATGCATGAATCTCCCTGGGAATGGGAAATAAGAAAGCTTTCCTGGGTCATTTGGGGGTAGATGGGCATGGGAACTTGAGGAATTTGGTTGGGGGATGTGTGGAGGGCGAGAATACTTTAAGAGATGACTGAAAAGGGGGGACATTTCAGCGTCAGAGAGAAACCTGGTGCAAGGAAACTTCCACAAATCTACAAGGATGACCCCAGCTAAGACTCCTAGCAACGGTGGATACATAGCCTGAAATGGCTATTCCCTGTGATCAGATTGGTGATTATCCTGGTTACCAGCTGAGAGCCTACATGCAGTGACTGATGGAAGCAGATTTACAGACCATGGCCAAACACTGGGCCAAGCTTGGGGAGTTCCGCTGAGGAGAGGGAGGAGAGATTGTAGGAGCCAGAGGGGTCAGGAATACTGGAGGAAAACCCACAGAAACAACTAACCTGGCTCACAGGAACTCACAAAGTCTGAAGCAACACACCAGGAAGCCTACATGGGACCAACCTAAGCCGTGTGTGTGTGTGTGTGTGTGTGTGTGTGTGTGTGTGTGTATGTGACAGTTGTGTAGCTTGATGTATTTGTAACAATGGGAGTAGGGACTATCTGTCCCCAATCTTTGGCAGGCCATTAGTAACCTATCCTCATAATGGATCGCGCTGCCCAGTCTAAGAAGAAGGGGAGGTGCTTAGTCTAATGGCAACTCAATGCTCTATGCTTTGCTGATAACCATGGAGGCCTGCCCCATTCTGAAACAGAGGAGGGGTAGGTTGTGGAGGAAATGAAAGCAGAGGAGCGAGGGGAAACTGCAGTCAGCATATAAAATAAATAAATTAGAATGAAAAGTTACAGAACATAATAATAACGTAATTATGTGTGTTTATGTCTCTGTTCACTAAAACATAAAATCTCACTAGAACATTTTGCTCACCACTGTTTTCTTTATTATTATCATCATCATTATTATTATTATTAATATTTATTTTAGGTCCTGACTGCAGTTTCAGCTCTGTTTTATTATTAGCTGGCACACAATTATTTTCAGAATTAAAAAAAAAAAGTGATCTGAATAGGTAATGACCAGTTACAAACAGCCTCTGTAAAACACAATGATATTTCTATGCATAGAATCCTAAACTAATAATCACAAAAAGGAACTATAAAAATTTCACAGCTGCATTATTCCTAATAGTAAACATCATCCAGAAATAGCCAATCTGCAACAGGAGACAGTATAAGCGAATTATAGTCTATGCACATTAGGAATATTACTTAGTGCTACCTATTTGTTCTAAGGGACTAATAACAGGGCATCTAAAACTATCCTGTGAAAGAGTAAACAAAAGAGAACACATTCCAAACAACAGCAGCACAAAGCATCTGTGCTGAGATAGTGGAAGAATGGCCACTAGGTTGGGGTTAACTGCAGGACAACAGAACCTGAAATGTTCTGTGCCTTGATATGACTGGGGCTGCAAGCGTTCACACAGTTATGAAAACAGATGAAGCTGCCCACTATGTGCACTTTGTTTTGGGGACAAGGTCATACTCTGTGGCCTGTGACCCATCTACTCAACCTCCTGAATACTCACTTGGCTTTCACACAGGCAGGCCAGATACTCATAACTTTTTTCAAAATGCAAAAAGTCCTGAATTTGTTTACCCAGGTATCACAAAGGCTGCAAAAACACAAATAGAGGAACCAGACTACACCAGCTTTCATCAAATCTGCCTATTAATTTATTTATTTGTTTCCTAAAATCCATTGTTGTGAGACATCCAAACAGAACTGGATTAATTAGTGGATGAATTATCCTGCGAGGAAACATACTGAGAAAATACCTATTACTATGAAAGATGGGTTGTGTTTTACTTAACTGCAAGTACACAAGGAGTTCATGAGGTATGACAGAACGACTAGATAGAGATCAGGTGCACCAAAGGACGATGTGACATGACACACCAACCATGAGCTGTGTGCTAGCCCTAAACCCACAGGCTGAAGAATACTGAAGTTTTCAGCTTCACTCTACTCTCAAAAGTAAGTAATACAGAAGGACCAAAACAAAACAATATTCATACGGCATTTTGGTAGCCACTGAGCTAGTGAAATAAAGAATGGGCAAATGAAAAACTAAATTTCTTATCTTATTCAAATTTAAATTAAGTTTCATTTTGAAACATTTTTAGCCACTACAAAGTATGATTCTAATAACTAAATCTGTAAATTTATTTTTCAGCAGTTAATCTGATTACATGCATTCATTTATATATTTATTTGTTTATATTTATGTGTTTGGATACACATGCCACAGAATACATGCGGAGGCCAAAGGACAACTTCTAGAAGTCTGCTCTACCCATCTACAATGTGGGTACTGGAGATCAAATTCAGGTCATCAGGCTAGGCAGCAAGTGCCTTTATATGCCGAACCATCTTGCCATCCTTCAACAAAACTTTAAAATAGCTCATTATTAATTTTCACACTGATTGTAGTTCAAAAGCTATTTTCAAAAGATTTCAATCTCTTAATATATGTTATTAAAATTAATTCTATTGTTTTGTTTACATTTTAAAAATCATTTCACTTGTTTCTCTTCACAATCAAATTTTACTTTTTTCTTTTTCTTTTTGAGACAGGGTTTTTCTGTGTAGCCCTGGTTGTCCTGGAACTTGCTCTGTAGATCAGACTGGTCTTAAACTCAGATAGCCACCTGCCTCTGCCTCCTGAATGCTGGGAAAAAGGCGTGTGCCACCACACCCAACTCAAATTTAACTTTTTAAATTACATTTTTATACATGTGTTATATATGCATGCACATCTGCAAAATAAGTGGCTGTCACAACACACGCCTGAAGATCAGAGGAAAATTTATAAGTCAGTTCTCTCCTTCTATCACGTGGGTTCTGGGGAAGGAACTGGGGTTATCAGACTTGGTGGTAGGTACATTTACTTAATGAGCCCCACCAGCTCTGTTCTGCTTTAAAATACATATATGGCATACGTTATGTTTCAAATGGACTGTACTGTTGTAAAGGCAGGTCAGCAGTATCACTACCACGCATGAGCAAACACTTCAGACATCTCCTGACCTTTGCACTTGATTGTCTTCTTTTCTTTAGCTGGATGAAGTCTGTTTCCACCCTTTCTGCCAGTTCTAATTTTCTCTTGTTCCTTTTGAATGCAGCTAAGCTGAATCCTACAGAAGAGAAGAACAAAAATAACACTTGAGAATTATTAGAGTAAGAAGGCCAGAGGGATAATATTGAAACATCTTCCTAGGGGGGAAAAAAAGGCACTGTTGAACTTCTGCTTTTTAAAAGTCTTTCCAAGGTACGCTGACAAAACTGGAAAACAAAACAAATAGCACAAGTTTAGAAACTTAAGAAAAAGGTCAAATCAGAGAAACAACTGAGTTCTGAAGGGAGACAGGACGCGGGGAACCTGGAGACCCTTGAGAGATGAACACAGGAAACCGAGCACTAGAAAATGTATTAGAGATGTGTTGTTACAAGAGAAGGAGAGAATCCTGGAGGCTGACACCCCGCATGAACAGTTCAACTAGCTACCACAAAGAATGAGGTGAGGCTTCAAGTCTTAACCTTGTGTCCAGATTGAAGGAGAGAAAGTTTTCACAGGATGAGTGTGAACTGGAGAGTTCGTGCTATCTGTATGATCAGAGGAGGAAACAGTGACCTTGGTGCATATGGTGTCTCGTCTTCACTGTCAGCTGACTGCATTTAGAATCACTGAGGAAATACCCCTGGCTGTACCTCTGAGAGGACTCCAGAGAGTTTCAACTGGAGAGAGAGGAATTGCCATGAATGTTGGTATACCACTGCATGGTCTGGGGTCCTGGACAGAACCAGCAGAATAAAGCAAGCTGAGAACCAGTCTTTATTCTCTCTGCTTCCTGACTATGGGTAGACAGTGCATCTCATATGTAGCCAGAACATGGTCCTTCTCCTTAAGTTTCTTCTTCTTTGGTGGTGGCCACATATTATCCAGACAGAAAGGCAATTAAAAAAAAAAATCACTGGGTAGCCTGGTATAGTGGCTCATACCTATCATCACAACCCTCAAGAAACTGAAAAAAGAAAAAAAAATTGTTAAGGGTTTGAGGTCAGCTTGGGCTACAGAATGAAACATCTTTTTAAAAAAAAAAATCACTAGAGCTTCATTAAACATCTACAGAATACAGACACCCATTAACACTGGTACATTCTCCAACCTAGACTATATATTAGGCACCAAAAGATGTCTCAAGATCTTAAAAACTCGAATCTTATCACAAATCTAAAATGCCAGAACCAAATTTAGAAATCAACAATCAAAAATAGAAAATAAACAAATACATGAAAATTAAACAATATGCTCAGGAATACCGTCACTGAATGTCAACAGGTCTCTGAAGAGTCAGAGTGGTGGTGATACACACCTTTAATCCCAGCACTCGGTTGGAAGAGACAGAGAGATGGTTCTCTGAGTTCGAGGCTAGCCTGGTCTACATTGTGAGTTCTAAGACATCTAGGGCTACATAGCAAAACTCTGTCTCAAAAAAGAAAATTCACTGAAGAAACAAAAAGGAACTTATAAAGTCTCTTGTGTTGATAGAAACACTGGATACCAAAGCCTGTTTTTTCACCAAATGAGTACAATAAAAGCAACTTGAAGTAGTTAATTTTTATGTCAAAGAGCCAAGTCTAAGAAAACAATCAAATGCTAGGGGGCTGGAGAGATGGCTCAGAGGTGAAGAGCATCGCCTGCTCTTCCAAAGGTCCTGAGTTCAATTCCCAGCAACCACATGGTGGCTCACAACCATCTGTAATGGGGTCTGGTGCCCTCTTCTGGCCTGCAGGTATACAGACAGAACATTGTATACAT